GTACAGATTAGTCTGAATGCAATGGATGAGGAATGCTTGACATTCTTAGGCAAATGAAATAAGCAGTTTTTCTTTCACCTACTTTTTTTCCTAATTTAAAATTAATTTGCTGTGAAATACATTCTACCAAACATATATGTCTTCATATTTTTATAGAATTTATAGAAGTGGTTTTCACATTGCCACACAGCATTTAATAATTTGATGGAAATGTTTGAATCTGCAATAATTACATACGCCTGTGTACATGCCAGGGAGCCAAAAACGGACTCCAGTTTTAATTGTTTTAATGGATTGGCTAGTCTATGTCAACAAAATAAAGTGCTTCTTATCACTTTTTTTAAAGTACTTGACATCTGTTCTATGAACTCTTCCAATAAGGTTACTAGCAAGTGAATCATTAAGAAAAAAAGAAAAGTTTTAGATCATGTAGAAGTTTTCAAATTTGGTTGAAATTAATAGATCTCGCCCTGAAAATATTATTTATTGAATTTAAGGAGTTTTATGAATAATATTGCTCCTCTTTCACAACAAATCTACAAGGTAACAGTGATTCCTAGCTCACAAAAGAAGAAATTAAGGCTCAGAGAAGGTAGGAGATAGTTTTCCCAGGGTCTCACACTTAGTAAGGAACTCAGGAGTTGACTATTCAAACCCAAGTCTCAGATTCCAAAACTTTGTTCCTTCTACTCTGCCAAGTTGTTTCTCAGTGATTGGGGATGAGGTAGAGAAAGGTAATCGACGGCCATTAAATTCTGATTTCAGATTACAGTATCCAGTTTCTACTAATGTGAAAACATTATACTACCGGAATGCATTTTATTTAATTTTATAATTGTAAGGAATATATTTCCCAGAGCTTCGTTAGCCAAATTGAGCCCCAAATTGAAAAAGCTTTAATTAAAATGTATAAATTTTCCAAATATCATAACTCACAAATGTATTTTTCATTGTCAACATGTTAGTTACACTCACACTTTCTAAGGATTTTTTTTTAAGTTTTTTTTAAGACTTTACACATGTCAGGGAGTTGATTTTTATTTACTGCTAGGAGAAGCTAAATATGTATTTTTTATATCCTTTCATTCTTTCCTATGCATGTATCAATATAATTTCCTTTCCCAAAATATTGAAACAATTTCTGTCTTTTTGCCACTTGAATCCAGGCTTCCCTCTCCATTTTGTGTCTCGGGTTTTTGGACAATTCCCTAGGTTAGTAGATTTCCTCCCCTTATTTGCCATTCTTCCAGTTCTGTTACTTTTCTTCATGTCATTCTGTTCTCTATGCTTCTGAGGTCTTCAAAGACACCTGCAATGTTCCCTGACAAGAAACCTAGGGATGCCTTGCCCTTGAGTTAGACAGAATATCTTCACTGACGGACTGACATCAGCAAACTCAAATTATGTCAAAGTGACAAGGCAACTAAGCAACCCTCATTTACGAAAATAAAATCCAAATAAATGACTTACTAAATTCACCCTTGATGTAAAATCCTCAGCTGTTTCTCAATATGTGTTCCCAAGTATTAAATTATTTCACAATAAATAACACAATATGTGATTTATTCATCTTCAATCAAGTCTTTACAGTTATTTTCATTATTATGGCCGCACCTCAGAGATTTACAGTGAACAAAACCACCGAAAGTGAACAATAAATAAAACTTCCTCTAGACATCTTCAAGACAATTGGAGTTCTTACGTTTTTCTTACGTTCTTACAATACACTTTCCTTAAAATAAAGACTATAATTAAAGAAGTTCCATGAGGTCAAAGATGGGGTATGTTTTGTTCAACATTTGTCTTGTCAGTGCTCTGCACAATACTTGCCACACTGTAGATCCTCAAATATTTTTGAATGATTGGGTGAATTAAATAGTATTTTGATGTGCCTACTTAAGAAAGTAAACTACTTTCCTCAAAAGTTTCAAAACTCATAATATATGCCCTGGTTTTCTTTTATATACTATTATGACAGTTTATTCAAAGCCTAGGAATATATGTCTTTGTAGAATCTCGGAGTAGGGAAGAACTCTAAGCATAACACCTTACAGATGAGAAGGATCCCAGAGAATTAAAGTAGTGTGTCCAGAAATATACAAGTTGTCCAAGGCAAAATTAGAATCAGGTCTCCCGAATTTGGGATATTCTTCAATTTCATCAATTCAATTTACTTTTATTATTTAAATTGTATAAAGTATTATAAGCTTTATATCTCACACCAGTGCATCTAAAAACGACTATTAAAGTATCAAAAACCTGAGTTTAGTTATTCCGTGGGTAAAATAACTAGTTTAATTACTTGGCAATGAAATAGCATTTATTAAATTCATTTTTATTTTCCTACTTGCAAATCATTCTGAGTAAAAAACAAATCCCAAGTGACTGAGACATTTCATGATGAAACCATTGAGAAAACAGGAACTTCCATAGCAAGTACAGTCTCTCCTGTAGTATATTGTAATGGAATGCAAGAAAGCTCACAATGATCAAAACGACCAGAAATTCCCATCTAAAAATGCCCTGGTCATGGTTACTCTTAGTGATCTAAAAAAAAAAAAAAGTTGTTCAGCTCTAATGAGAGAATAGATAGAGCATAATCGATCTTCCCAAGTGTTTTCAGAGAAGTTTAGGATCCTGACAGTATCAAAGAATGAATCTACTGGAACTTTTTAAGGCAGTGTCCTAACGTGCCAAATAAAAGAAAAATGGGAACACACAGATATTATATAAGTCACTGCTTTGAAATATAATCTCTGTTTTCTTTGTGTCATTAAGACTGTTGGTGATATGGCTAGCCATGAGAATTTTTCTATATGCATAATATGATGTTGAAAATGTTTACACTATATTTACTTGTACATTCTCAGCATCCACCTGACAGAACCTTTTCAAAATAGAAAAGAATTATGGCATGGAAAGTATATATAGATGTCGCACATATTTGAGCACCACAACTATTTTCAAATTTCTTATTCTGAAAACCACTATGTGGGTACATGCTTTCATCCAGAAAAAAGCCAGAGTCATTCAAATTTGACTTATAAAGGTAACCATCAGAGACTATTTCCTCCCTCTTATTCTGGGACTAAATGCCTATGTTCTCAGTTTATTTTATCTATTCCTCATGTAAGTTGCTGAAAATAGTCTTAGGTTAAATTGGCATTACCAATTTACTTTTTTAAAATTACTTTTTCAAATTTGTGAATTCTGGTTCTTAGGCAAAAAGAAAACTCCAAGATTACAGAAAAACAATTCTTCCAAAACTGTTCATTGTCTTTAGTAAAATCAGTTTATCAAATACGCATCTGTTGTACTGAGGAATTATTAATAGTATATTGCACAAATGTTGCTTTTAGATACTGACACAAATCTACAGATGCACAGACTCCTCTTATAAAGGATTATGTTTAACAATCTGCAACATCAAATAGTTGCTAAGATGATGCTGCCTTGGAAATACTGGCAGGGAAGAACAGCCAACAGCAACCAACCCATTCTGAGGTTCGTTTCCCAGCTTATCAATGGGAAAAAGTGGTAGAAAGGTGTATTAAAGAGGAAAAATACACAAGAAGAGGAAAATGACTAAAGAGTACTTTCACTGATTTAAAAAAAAAATCATTCTCCATTAATGTAAGTGCCACAAGGATATTTGCAGGACCACCTGGAACCAGTACTCAGTCGCTCCGGGTCTCACTCCGCAGGTCCCTCTACCATCAACTGCAATAGTACTTCGAAAAGTGAGGCTCAACAGTAATCAAACAAGATCAGTGTTCAGATTCATTCTGGAGACTTTCAAAGAAGTAAAAGTCCCAGGAGTGGATAGGTAGAAGTGCCATCGGGAGTTAAAACGCTTGTAGCCAAGGTCAAAGTGAGGATAAAAGGTGGATGGAGATTTGACACTGAATCTCTTTCAGATTGTCTGCAGTAGAGTGGATTCCTTCAAAACAAAGCTCGCCCAGACAGGGAAAGACTAGATCAGAGGTCTGGCATTCCTGGAAAAGATAAAAATCAAAGGTAGCTAAAATACCTGGGCAGGAATGAGGCACGATTGGCCAGAAAGGATGCCTTAGAACCAGGGGAGTTTGGTGTACACCTGGAACTGCTGATACAGACATCCCGAGATGAGCCCAGGTCTGGAGAAGCCTAGGAAAGCATTTATTCATTAAACAAATATTGATGAAGAGCCTAATACAAGGAAGGCCCGAAAAAATGAGGGAGAGGGCACTGTGGAATCAGGGAAGGGAGAGTGAAGGACGAGATACGGGTGCAAGAAGTACCAGAGAGCTTTAGAAAACCAGACACCAGGTTTACCCAGAGAAGCAGCTTGAAGCCAATAAACGCCTGGTGAATAAGGGAAAAAAGCTACTGGGTGAGGAGAACATGAGAAAGATTAGAGGTTTCTTCATCAGACGGCAACTCAGAAAAATATCTGGCAGAGAGTATCTGAAGATTTGAGAAAAGGGATGCACCATAGAATGCAGATAGCCTGTGGAATTCAACGATGTCAGAGAAGGTCACGCTAAGACCAAGAGAGTGTGGGAAATAAGGAGAGGAAGGGTTTCCCGGAAGGGGTCGGGGCTCCTTTGGGATGTTGGAAAACACAGATGAAAGACATGGACATGGAACTGCAGAACAGTGCCTGGGAAAGTTTGGGAGAAAGAAAACAGGTGGGTGTGAAGGAGCACTGGGGCTGTCAGGGGACAGTGATGAAGTAGGGTCCAAGGCTAGAGGTGGGCAGACAGGCCCCCGAATTTGGAGACCCCAGGACCTCAGAAAAGTGGAGTCTTACTCTTTTCCCGGGCCCTAGTCCCCACTTCCGCCCCAGCCAAGTGGATCGGGTCTTGCCCCGGGCGCCGGAACCCCAGGCCAGGCGGGGCGAGGCCCGGCCGCCCCCCAGCGGCTGGGCTCGGCGCGCGCGCCCCGCTCGGCCGGCGCCAACTTTCCCGATCCTGGTCCTCTCTCCCGAAGCGCGGGCCCCCCTTCCGCCCCCCGCTCACCGAGGGCGCCGTCAGGCGGCTGATGCTCTCGCCCAGCGAGTCCAGGTTGACCCGCCTCCGGCGCTGCGCCCTCCTGGCCCCGGCCGTGGCGGCGGCGGCGGCGGCAGAGAGAGCCGGGGCCGGGGCGGCGGCGGCGGCGGCGGCCGCGCTGGGCTCCAGCGGCCCGGGCGGGCTCCGGCTGCCGTTCCAGCAGAGCCTAGACAGGGGGCACTCCCCCTCCTCCTCCGGGCTGGTCTCCAGGTAGTCGGAGCCCAGAGAGCTGAAGGACTCGGACGAAATCTTCCTTCGAGACATGCTGCTGGAGGCGCTGCGGCGGCCGAGGAGGCGGCGGGGACGCGGGCGGCAGCGGCGGCGGCGGCGGTGGCGGGACCGGCGAGCGGCAGCGTTAGGCGCGTCGGGGCCGTGGGACGCTGCGGTCGCGCTCGGCGGGGCGGGAGTCCCCGGGGCCGCGGAGCCCCCCGAGCCGGCTGCTCATGGCGGGAACTCGGGGCGCCGCCGCACCTTGGGGCCCGGGCTCGGCGGCGGCGCCGGGCTGGGCTGGGGGCCGCCGCCGCCTCCGCTGCTGCTCGCGCGGTGCCGCCTCAGCGCCCGCCTCGGCGCATCGCCGTGCGCCGCGCTCCCGCTAGCGGGGAGGCTCCGAGTGTGTGACCGCGGGCGGCGGGGCGGGGAGGGCTGCGGCCGTGCGGTCGGGGAGGCAGAGGCTTCTGCCGCCTGCGCGCCTATCTCGCCCCCTTTCCCCCTCTCCTCCCGCCCCTCTGCTCCCGCCTCTCTCCACTTGCTGCCCGCCTCCCGGCTTCTCTCTTTATCTCCCCCCACCCCATCCTCTCCCTCCGCCGGTATCACGTGTCGCCATCATACTCATTGGGAGTCTCTGCCTCGCCTGTCGCCACGTTTCAGGAGCAACGAGGACACTTCGCTACTGTCCTCTGCGCGCCCTCGCGGCTGCCACGGTTTCTGCTCCGAGGAGGAGCGCACCATGGCTCGGATCGGACCAACCCCAAACGCCCTATCCCTGGGCCCTGGGAGAGGCAGCTGGGGAGCTGACGGGCCCGGAGGGGCGGGAGGGGAGAGGGGCGCGGGCCCAGGGGCAGGAGGCCTCCCTCTGGAGACACCTTGGCGGAGCCTGACAGCGCGAAGTGGAGATTAGGGACCCCGTTTGTCCTTTCCCCACCTTTCTCCGAGTTTATTTAGGAAGTTCCGAGGGAAAAGGGAAAGGGAAGCGGTCCATCCTGCCCATTCCAGCGGAGACGCTTACAAGGGAAGAGAAGGAAAGGGGCAACATGTTGGCGCCCATCCTGCCGAAGCAGCTTGTGGGGACTAGCGTTCCCCGCCTCGGGCGAGGCCGCGTGGCCGAGAGTGAGGACAGGGTCTCCTCGGGCGAGAGCCCGGTGCTGAGCCTCAGCCCGGCGGGGCGCGCGGGCTGCCGGCTCTCGCTGGCTGCGCGCTAGTGCTGGACAGCTCCGCTTGCCACCTGCAGCCGCGTTTGCCCGCGTTGCAAACCGGAGAATGGTTCCTCTTCACACTACCTAGGACCCGGCCAGGGAAGACTGGGAAGCGATCCCAAATCTCTCATCCTCAGGGCTCTTTGCGCCAAATATGCGATATGTTGCACTTGGCTACAATGCTGTTCAGAAAGCTAAGGGGAGTGGGGAGAAAGGCTTTTCAAAGCCCTAGAACAGACTCGCCACAGCGCTAGCACATCTCTTGCCGAGAGTTCTCGGCAGAGCGGCTTCATTCCAAAGCTTGCCTCTTTGTAAACCAGTCCTTCCAGTGCCTGGCCCCACTGCCCTTGCTTTAGCTCCAGAAAAGCCTCGGACTTGTTCTGATGTTAGAGATGGAAAGAAGGGGCAAATGACAGTGTCCCGAAAGAGGGGTGTCCCCCTGCAGCAAAGCAGACGGGCACCCTCCCCACCTTCCCCCGCCCGCGGAAAGTAAAGTTCAGGGGCTCCGGCTTTAGCACCCCAACGACACATAAGCCAAAGTTTTCCCCACTCCCAGCCCCCAAGGACTGATCCTTCCATGTGAAGCCAGATGGATTTGCAGGGACTGCTTATTTAAAGACAAAACAAAAATACAAAACTTTTTTTGTATTCCTGCCCAAATTTGTTTTCAACTCCAAATCTTCCCAAGTGTTTAAGAGGCCCCAAATATAAATGTTGTTTGAGCTTTCCCTTTATACTTTGGAAAAATCCACTCAAACTGGTTCCGAGACATGCCTTATTCCCAGATCTTAAGCGGGCGTTAAAGATACAAAAAGCGTGTACTATCTCTCACACGCTCCCCTTCAAAAATATATATATTTTTTCTCAGCCTGCTGAGGAAGTTTCTAACTGCATAGTTTCTTATCTTAGCAGAGAAAACCCAGGCTTGTCTTTGGAGAAACGTTTTAATATTCTTGCTGTGCAGTATCAACCACAGCATCTGAGGTTGGAGTTCCTGGTTCTCTTCTTTAGTAATGATGATCTAATTGTCAAGTTCTTTAGAATCATGAGCTATTATTAAAGATACTTAATAGCATATGCCCTTCACGTTTTTTCTATAAATTACTGCTGCACACACACAAAATATTTATTATGATAATAGTAAATAACCTTCCTATTGAACTTAGAACTGGAACTTTTTATTAATCATTCCAATTCTTGTCTCAAAGTCAAAAAATACTGAGTGCAAGGCAGTGAGTATCATTTGTTTCTCAAATTTACAAGAGGCCCAAAAGTCTTCCTGTTTACACTGGAAGTTTATTGCCAGAAAGAACTCTGAACCTATAGGACATTCTTTTTCTTTGGGTGAACCATTTGAATCAAAGACTTATTACAGATCTTTCCAGATGAAGCGGCCTAACAGTTTTCTGTTTTAATTACCCTGCCTTTGATCATGATTTTCCCACTGATTTTTTAACTATAAACAAATTGAGGCCTAGATATAGACAGTACATCATCTGCTTTGCTTTCAAGGGTTTCCCTTGTATTTCTGTTCAGGAGCAGGGTTCAAAAGTTCTCAGTATGAAGAGTGCTATGCTCTGTACTTGAATTAACATTTTTAAAATGAAATATAATCTATTCTCAGATTTTTGTTTTTTTGCTTTTTTAAAAAAAAAAAAAGAGCCTTACAGTTAGTAAAAGCAATCTAAATACTTTAGGCAGAGTAGTCCACTGAGAATAAATAGTCTCTGCTCTGATTTTAGGAAAAGAAACTTGCACAAATTCATGCCCACAAATCCAACCCTGCTGAATGTCTTCTGTTTCAATAAAGCCCATAAAGCCCAGTCTCCTGGGAAAGGAAAATGCAAAAATATACTTGGTTTATATGTAAAGTTCGTGAGGGCATCTGAGGACTCACTCAGATTGATCAAGCATTGGGAAAGACACCCTAAAAAAGCAGATTCTCCACATTCATCAAGATGGTGATTATTGCCCCTTTTAACGTAAAACAATTATTGTTTGTGTATATATTACCTTCATTTAAAGTGTTGCTGTGTATAAACTCCTTTCATTTACATTGCTTCAATTAATTTGATTTTCATCCTTCCCAGAGAAGTAGGTGGGAAAAAAAAAAATCACCTCTGTCAAATTAAAAAAAAAAAAAAAAAAACTACAGTCAGTCCTCGTTCCCCGTATTCTTTGCATTTCAGAGGTCCAAACTCTTTCCTAATTTCTTTTCATTTATCTAAGTCTCCAGCAAGGAAACCTGTAACATCAGCATAAGCATTCCCCGGAGCAGAGCTCCTTCCTAGTATCAGAAGACTGAGAATATCTCTCTCTATAGTTAGTCTTTACATAAATCTGGCAACTTGCAGGAATTGTACATGTAACATTAAAGTAAGTTCTCTGAAGAAATATAGTAGCTCGTGAATTCTTAACTAGGACAAGTTTTTCTGGATCCCTAACCTAGAAAATTACACACACACGCGCACGCACACACACACACACACACACACACACACAAACACACTCTCCCCAGCTGCAACTTTAGCCATAGGTCCATGGTATCTGAATTGAGATTTGTCTACCTTCCCATTTAATATACCCTTCTCTTTTAAAAGAGGGCAAATGTACTTTCTTGGTGAGCAGCTGTGAGAAAATAAAAATGGAGATAGTGTACTTCACATTCTTGCATAATTTTGTAAGTAAAACTAAATATTAAAGATACTATCAAAGTGAAAAGAATCATCTGCTTTGTTCACATATAAAGGGACCCATGGAAGACAATGTAATCCATCATCCTATGGTTATACTTTATCAGGAACCATCCGGAAGGGGTAGGATAGTTGCTGCTCAAAAAAGGAGGAAGAGGGCATTGGGGAAAAGGGGAAAAGAAATAAAGAAAAGCAACAAAGTCAATACTACACTTAGTAGAATTTGTACCAGAAAGATACTTAATGAGTAGGATGGCTGCCTTGTTTTAATGCCACCAAATCTAAGACAGCAAGAAACAGGGCAAGTAATCAGTATATTTTGGTACCTCTGGCAGACACCACTTTCCCTTAAGTGGCTTTGCATTTAACCATGTACTGCAGAAATCTATCCTCCTCTTGAGAAGAGACCCTGTAAGTCAGTGCCTCAAACACTAACACCACAGCCTCCTACAATTCTCAGCCTTTTTGTCTGCAGACTCAACAATCCTAGCACCGTTAGCTCTCTATACACTTTCTGTAAATTGGGATTCTAAATCCCAACACAATAGGACATATTTTCACAAGGACATAAATATGGAAATTCTGGCACAGAGATTTTAAATATCTTCCCAATGATATGGAGGGGATAAATATTAGAGTCAGAATTTCAATCCTGACTTCTAAGTCCATGCTATTTCCACTGAAACATGTTCCTGGCTGCCTCTTGTCCTCAAATGTCCTAAAAACACAGAGAAAAATCTGCTGAATTAAAACCACAATGTGAGTGATTTATTGCGTTAAAAATAAATATTGCATACACAACTAATCTGTTTGAATTATGTCCTGGAATATAATGGCATGGAAAAGCACTGACATATGCAGAAGCTCTGCATTTTAGTAGTTTCTTTGCTGATAACTAGCTGTGTGATCAAAAGCAAGTTGCTTAACTTCTCTGGGACTCAAACCATTAACATCTAAATTAAAAGGGTTGGATAAAATCCCTAGGGTATCATCAATCCTCAATATTCTATGATTTTTCTATTTGTTGAGCTTTTTGTTTTCTTTCCAGACATATGTTACGCACAGAAAAATTTCCCCTCACACATCATGAGGGTAGCTTCTCTTTTTCTTCCCTATCATATCCTTTCTGAGAGTGCAATTCCTCTGAAAAATCCCTTCTGTAACTACCTAAGATCTTCTAATATTAAACTGTCATGAACATAGTCCATAAAATTAAATGGATAGAAAAGAAAAACTTCAACACAATCATATTTGGCTAGGTGCTCACCATCTCTCTGTCTTTTCATAACCTAATTCTTCTGTCTGCTTTATTATATTATATAAAGGAATCATATCTTTCTGTCTGCAGCTTATTAAGCTTGGCAGCTAATGATAATAAGTACAAATTATCAATAAGTGTGTCTTAATATAACCTTGTTAATGTTAATAGACATTTACTTAAATATGTCCAACTTGTAGTAAATATGCAATCTGTTATTTATTATTTTAAAATAATAAATCTATTTTTAAAAAATATCCAAATTTAATGTAAATACTAGAATTCCT